CACAGGTGGTAAACAATACTCTGCCACTTTCAATGAACACATCCAATGCTTAATCACCAAGGCAAGAAATATACCGGCTCTGCACATGCTAAGAACCTTCTCCCAGTCATTGTTCCTTCAAACGCAACAAGCCTCTCTGATGGCTTCCCATGCTTCTCGCAGAACACCATCAGATCTAGCTCAAGGCCCTTGTAATCCGGGTCCTCAAGTGAGAAAGGCACCTGCACAATCAAAAGCACAGCAAGAGAACACATCAAATCAAACGAAATCCTCAGAACAAAGAGCACCTACACATAAAAATTCCAAAAATTCCTAAACCTAACCCTAACCCTAGCTCCAATGGAGTAACTAACCTGGTTCAGCCCATCGGTGGAGGTTTCGGAGTACATGTAGGGAGGCTTGAGTTGTCATCGCTGCTCTCGTCCTCCAGAACCATGGCTGCGGCGGCGCGGTGTGGCGGCCGGCGGTGGCGGGCGCAGGCGACGGCGACGCAGACAGCAGGAAGAAAGGAAGAAGAAGGCGAGCGGGGTCGGGGTAGGGATCTGGCTCGGTCGCACAACCGCGACTATAACGGTGCGAGTGAGCCGGCCTCGTCCGAGTCAGCGCCCAGTCAGCGCGCGGGCACGCGCGCACTGGCCAGCGTGGCGCCTGACGGGCGGGCCCAACCGGTTAGTTTACCTGTCAATACGTATAGAACGCACTTTTAGTCTTTTTTGCAACGGCTCGCCCCAATCTTGGTACTGACATGTAAAAATTACCAATCTTGATACCAATCTGCTTCAAATGCCTCAATTGTGGTACTTGTGTGCAATTTACTCGTTGTATTGTGATGGATCACTCTCTGGTTATCTATTTGTCAGTTATAGTCCCTCTGTTTGTTGGGTCATCGTAGCAGAGCTTCAGTGAGGATATATTGGTTTCCCAGCGAACCATCTCACAGACGTTTGATCAAGATCAAACGGTGGCAGTGCCGAAAGGGAGCGGGAAAGAGTGGCACACAGCTTATTAAAGTGTGTGTAGGCAGGCTAGACGCATTTTGGGACGAGGTTAGAAGATGGATGGGGTTGTGGCGCATGATCAACAGGTTTGGTGGCACTCGGTGATCAATGTTGACGGCAACACGAGAAAAATATTGCTTGCGCTTGCTGGATGTTGCAAGATGGAAGGTGATGAATGAGCCAAGAAAAAACAAAAAAAATCCTGCCTCGACACTCACTGCAGAGTCGCAACAGAAACCCTCGAGCTCGTGCCGCGGCTCGGTCAGACGGGATCTGCTGATGGAGCGATGAGAGCCCAGCTGTCCTCCGACGTACTACTCCTGCTAGCGGATGTGGTCTGGTCAAACGCAATGCACGTGGGGTGGATCCGGATCCATCAAGCAAAGCCAGCCTGACCCCGTCGTCCCGTGCGGTGCAACCAAAATGAAACCGGCCCCTTTGAAATATATATTTTTTCCTTTTGCTTGATGGTAGTATAACCATGGGCCACCATATGACATATGTGGTAAGCAATTTAAACCAATCCAAAAAAAAAACCCATGGGCCGCTAATGGTATCCGTAGTCGTCGTGGGTGAGCTGATGTGTTGACTGGCCACAGCAGAGCACAGCCCATCGCCGAGCTGGCAGGCGGGTGGCCCTTTTTCTTTCTCAAAAAAAAAAAAATAGAGAGAGAGCGAGCGAGGGAGCGAGAGGGCATAGCGGATCGCCCGGCCGGACTGTTGTTGCAGATGGCCCCCGAGAAACCCACCAAATTTGCAGAATCCACACCGGGTCACTGGCCCCACCCGGCAGCGAGACGGCGCACGGGCAAAGGCGGAGGCAGTTTGCAGGAAACCCCCCGTCCCTATTCCGCCTCGCCTCGTCCTCCCTTCCTTCCTGCCGTTGCTGGCTGCCTCCTCGTCCTTCTCCATCTCTCGTCGCCTCGCCTCGCCTCGCCTCGGCCCAGGGACAGGGCACGGGGACGCCAACCGGCGAACGTGCGGGCTCAGCCCATCTACTCCCATCTCTCACCGGCGGGGAGGGTCTGCACGGCCGGCCGCCATTGCCGCGTCTCCCCGAGGTACGTACCCTCGCCCCGCCATCTCGAACCCTCGCCCTCGCTGCCCTTTCGATCGCCGTCTCGCGGCCCTTTTGTTATGTAATGGCTTGGGCAGCGCTTGGTTCCGCGGACGCGAATTGCCAGGGATGCGTGGCTCGGGGCGACGATTCCTCCTCGCCGGAATCGGATCTACTAGGAGGAGAGATGATGTTGGGCTGGGCTTTTCGTTCCTGGGTTATTTACTTGTTTTTCTTTATTATTATTGCGCGGTGTAATGTACCTGCCCATTGCCATCCAGAATTCCTGGAGATCGGCCATCACGCCTTATTACTTTAGCGTAAGGCTTGTGTTTGGGGTTTGGGCTGTATGCCTCTCTAGCTTTTGGATCCCGTACGTATTCCCTTCTTGATTGTTATTGTTGCAGGCATGATGAATTTTTGATGTGTACTGTTATTTTAATTTTATTACAGTGTGGCACTGATTGGGGAAGAGTACGTAGAAGATGCTTGTCAAGGAGTTCACCGTTGATCTCAACAAGCCTCTCGTTTTCCAGGTACCATCCATCTGCTCTCTCAATATATGCTTCTTCACATCAATCAATTGTTGCAGCAACTCTTCTCCGAAATTTTAGGCATTTCCCATTCCTTTTCTACTTTAAATTTGTCAACATTTTGGAGCTTGCTTGTGGCATGCACTTCTGAGGTGCTGAAATGCTGAATTGACAAAATTTTAAGTGATGCTTGGTGGGCATGCTCTGCTCTTCTGAAATAATATGCTGTAGTGGTGAACTTGTGGTTTTACAAGTTTTAACTTATCGAGAATTGGTTCTGCCTCACAGTTGAAGCCAACTAATTTTGACCCTGTTCTGTATTCTATTTTTATGGGTGAAGGTTGGCCATCTCGAGGAACATTACCAGGAGTGGGTTCACCAGCCCGTCGTGAGCAAAGAAGGTCCACGCTTTTTCGCAAATGATACCATGGAGGTAACGCCAATGCGCTCCGGCGTATTAACGTCATTGGGGGATTTTGGAAACTGAACTGTCACCATATACGTTATGAAAATTTCTTTGTGCAGTTCTTGACACGCACAAAATGGTGGGCTGTGCCGGTCATATGGCTACCTGTCGTCTGCTGGCTGTTCGCCAAGTCGGTTCGGATGGGCCACACCATTCAGGAAGTAATCCTGATGGCCCTATTTGGAGTGTTTGTGTGGACGTTGATCGAGTACAGCTTACACCGCTTCCTCTTCCACATCGAGACGAGAAGCTATTGGTAACACCTCATCAACCTTCACCTGGGAATGTTTTTATCCGGATTCTCCTCATGCTTGTAAATTGTGCCCCCTCCGATCCGTAATAAGTGTCGTCGTTGTTATATATATGCTCGTAACTGATGGATGGTTGATGCGGCGTTTCAGGTCGAACACCGCACATTACCTTATCCATGGATGCCACCATAAGCATCCCATGGACTCGCTCAGGCTCGTGTTCCCTCCTGCCGGGGCAGCGATCATATGCGTGCCGGTATATATATCCCTGACTGAACCCATGAGATGGAAATGCTGAACATTTGCAAAACTGCTTCCATGAAACATAACCCGTCTAATCAAAGCGGTTTTGTTTTTGTTTCTTCTTATTTTTCAGTTCTGGAATGGTGTGGCATTCTTCGCGAGCCCATCCACGACTCCTGCGCTCTTCGCCGGTGGCCTGCTCGGGTACGTGATGTATGACTGCACCCACTACTACCTGCACCATGGACAGCCGTCCAGAGATCCAGCGAAGCATCTCAAGGTGACTAACTAGCATGATTCCACTTGAAGCCACCGATATAATCTACCAGTAGATGTCACTCATTCCTCGCAAACTTGACTCGTGATGCAGCGGTACCACCTCGGCCACCATTTCAGAATCCAGGACAAGGGCTTCGGCATCACCTCGTCGCTCTGGGACGCCGTTTTCGGGACGCTGCCTTCGTCCAAGATCGCCGCGAAGCTCAGCTGACATGTGCATAAACATGTTCTTTGCATGAGGAATTTTCAGTAGAGTCTGTAGGGCTTAGGTTAGGGACAAGGCTCATCTTGCCTTTCTGCCATGGGTTCGCATGTCTGCACGGTTGGAGTTCTCCAGTGGTGTGTGCTGATGTCTGGCTCTGATGTGAAGACGTTTGGTTGCCTCAACTTTTCATCCACAGAAATAGGTTATTCGTTTGGTGGTATTCGACGTTAGGAGGATAAATAGTCATATTCCTTGGTTCAATTGCGATATCTTCTGTCATTTTTCTCTTTGGGTTTTAGTTGTCGGCTGTTGAGAGAATGGTGCGAGATGCTTCTTTCTGGGTCCCAGTCATGAGTTGGCTTGTATCAGCAATTCAGCATCAAGGGATATCAGAAGGATATTCGCATAGTCTTTGCCCCTTTAGATTAGAAGAGTGTGTACAAACTTGAACATGTGTGATGGAAATAAATGAACTTGTACATATGAGAAATGGAACAAGGTAATTTTTCCGGTAAAAATAATGTTACGCGATGAGAAACATGGCAAACCGGAAGCCATTCTTGCAGCTGCAGATCCCACATGAAATACATCAATCCAGCAATACCTTGCAGAGATGCACCCAGGTGCTCGGCCATCTCATTCACAATAATTCTACGGATCATAGTACAGATCTACAGACAGTTGGGGGCATCAGAAGCACATGGGGCTCACTGGTTCAGATGCCCTCCCTTTCAGAATCGAAAGATCCTAGATGCCATCAAAATTAAGTTTCGACAGTAACTAGGTAATCGAGCAAAAGCTGAAATAAATGGATTCGATCTCAGAAAAACAAAAGGCCTGTTCAAAAACAAAATGCACACCAAGCAAAAGCATGTCTGAAATTTTCTGTGATTGGAACTCAAGACAAGTCAACAACAATACATTGTCAGACAAATATGCTGGCACAAGTCTGCTTAGTCTGGGGTGTTTCAAGAGCGGATTACACGGGGTGAATTTTTAGGTCGCCCTCTCTTGCCATTTTTTGTGACCTTTGGCTGGCTGGTCACCAATGCGTACATTCTGACAGCAAATAATTCCTCAGGTAGCTCCTTTTGGTTCTGTCATCAAATTGCAAGATTATGTGGCTGACAAATGGAAGCTGAAGTTTGTCATTTAGGAAAATTTGTCATTTTGCGAGATGCATACCTTGATGGTGTGGATATACAATCCACACTTGTTAAATAGCTCCCTGAAATATGCATCAGACCTAGTGACACTGTTATCCTCCTTGTCTAAGACAAATCCTGACAATGCAAATATTACAAATAATTTCCAAATGAGTACAACATGGTGCTTTTCTATCGTAAAATACAGCTGATGCAGTAACAAGGTGAATCATTTGATACAGTAAGCTCACCATTTTTTGCAATGTTCTCTTTCAGAACAAAAAACCCATCTGGTTTGAGCCCAACCTGGAAACAACATTGCCCGTATATGTTTAATTAACATGCATACGTAGTTGAACAGCCATATACATAATATTTTATCAGGTTTTGACTATACTAATAGGTGCACAGACATTGTCAAAGAGAACCAGAACTGGAACTAAGCCATAAGTAAAAATACAGACTGGAGTTGGCTTAGAAGATGTCGCTTGTTCCAATTTGCACTGTACATGTAATTGTTGAAACTACATGGTGAGCATCTTTCTACATATGCATAAGAAATTTCTTGCAAGCATTTGATTAGCAGCGAAAAATATCAACATCCTTTCTCCAATAATAGAACAGCACTATAGCATGCTTCTGCATATAATTTACTCCCTCTGTAAACTAATATTAGTTTACAGAGGGAGTACATGTACTTTAAAAATACAGAAAAAAACTTCAAGGCAAGAAATTAGCATAATGTTAAAATAAAATAAAAGTGAGTTTAAACTGAATGACCTTTGCACGGTTAAAAAATGAAATAAAATCATCATCAGTAAGTTGCCCTATGCACCACTGGATCCATATCACATCATATCTTCCTTCCTCCGGAGTGAAGTCCTGAAGCAAGAAGCAAAATTTACCATCTGGAAAGAAGCAGCAAGAAATTTAAAAAAGCCTAATCACAATAAGAATGCTCAACCAACCTGAAGAGGTATACAATAAAAGTTCGCAGCCTTGTGTGTATCATGCCCTACATCCATACAGCTACTAAGATTTTCCCGTGCCGCTTCCAGAAAATGGGCTACTGGCTCAACGAGATCAACCTGAAAACCCAACTCCAGTTTAAAATGAATCATCGACATTTGGAAAATACAAACAAGATACACTAAAACGAATCATTGATATTACAGAAGAAAAAGAAAATCACAATTCAAGTTGTTATACATCAGGGAGAAAACAAAAAAATAGTAAGTTCTGGCAAACATCACTGTGTGCGTAGAACAACAGAAGCTGAATGGACCGAGGATAACTCTTCATTAGTCTAGAACTGGTACCATGTATGGACTGAGGATAACTCTTTTCAGGCTCAACGGATCATACTTCAGGCACGACGGATTATGGTATAAACTCAAAACTGACCATGAGTTTCACTGCATACCTCATTGAAATGCTTGATAAGAAAATTCTTCGTAACCCGCCCGATGCCAGAGCCACAATCTGCCATAATTTCAGAGATGACAATATAAGTGCACAATTATATGACAGAGAGCACGCAGGATCCCATGACATGAGGTAAGCTATGCAGTCGCGCAGATTGAAGCACCAGTAAAATGCCCTCCGTGCAGAGGTCAGCTCACCAAGCGCGACGAGATGGCGCTTCGCGGCGCCGAATCGCTCCGCGAGGATGGGGCGGAGGAAGGCGGCGCTGCCCTTGACGTCGGCGTCGTTGACGCACCCGTAGCCTCCCAGGACGCCCTCGGTCGACGCCTCCACGCCCTAGGAGACGCCAATTGGAGCAACTGGTAAGCTAAATCTGCAGCCAGAGGACGTGCAATCGGATTGGGGGTTTAGGGTTTAGGGAGGGGACTGGGCGGCTGAGCGCGGGTGCTCTTGGCCTTCACCTGCCAGTAGGCGATTCCTTTGGAGTACCACTCCTCGCGCTTCCCTTCTCCGCCCGCCTCCTCGCCGGCGTCCCCATTGCTTGAGGCGGCGGCGGCGGCGGCGGCGCCCGGAGGGACTTCGGAGGCCGAGGCGGAGGCGGAGGCGGTGGCGCCGATCTCCTGGGCCCACATCTCCGTGGCGCTGGAAAACTCGCGGCCCGTGGAATCGAAGCCCCGGGAGTCCATCTCTCCGGCGGCGGCGGCGGCGGCAAGAGTTGGTCGCGCGCGAGCAGGGGAAGCTTGTGGGTGAAACTGTATATTCGGATTTTACAGGTACCCTTCTGCATATATTCCCACCACCCGGAGGCAAGTGAAATCTTTGCCGCTATGGTGGGATCTGATGAAATCTTTTGCATTTAAATTTCAAGATGGACCATTTTCCAACAATTTTTTTACTCTACCTCGAATCACCACAAAAAATCATGAAAAAGAAGTCTAAACTTCTTTAATACTATTATTGATACATTGTCCAGCCACCGGTCAATGCCGGTATTTTAAACTGTGGGACTCGATCATGATGCCCAACATCCTTTTGGCCCACTAGGTTTAGAGCGCACAATTCCGACAAGGCCATAAAGGATGACGGTGTCGGACAATGCCATTTTCGCCGATGAGGATGAGCCAACATAGCTTTATTTGGAACTCAATGAAGTTGACCTCCACATGCTTGTCATGTCTGAGGTCATTCAAGCTGATGATCAAAGCTCTTCTTCTGAGGAGCTTGAGGCTCAAGAGTATGCTCGCTACTCATGGTATCAGCATACTCAGGTTCATTGCTAGGGAGCTCATCTTTCATGCCGGTGGACACAATTTGCAGAGTTCCATGGCTTGAATAATAATGACATCCTGATCTTGAAGCTCAAGCACAAGTTGAGCACTAAGGTTTGGATCTATGTTTCGTCTACTCCACGGAGGGTGATTACTTGTCATCATCACCCTATTTTCCCTACTTATGAAGAGGGTTATGCGCATAATGCGGTGGCATTTGGGTTAGGAGTATATTAGAAATACCTAATATTAGTGATGGATGATCAAACTATTGTTGGTGGCTTCTTGCATCAAGATTGCAAGACAGAAAACCTGATGGTGACGACGAACAACTTAATCATAATAGTATATGCACTTATTGCAAGCCTACCTTTGTGAAGTTAGTAGTGATGGTTCTAAATTGCCCTGACATGAACAATTTGTTTTTTCAAAAGGTTGAAAAACATCTGTTTGTGTTTTTTTGCACCGAAGATCCTCGAGTGTGCTATGGGAAAATTCATGG